ATTTTCTAATTTTAATTAAAAGATATTGAATTTAAGAATAAAGATTCGGGTTAGAGTTGGGTCGGGCCGTGCGCTCATTTTTTTTATATCAGTATTCTACGTGAGTCCACATTTTGCGCGTCTCATTTTATTGGACTCCGAACGTAGCTCTACGTTCAGAGCCCTGATGTAATATTTTTTTCTTGAAATCTTATGCATATACATTCCTAACACTTAAACTTCAAATGTTACATACATACCAAAATTTAAAAAATTAAAAAATGGCCGAAGTTACCTTTTCCGATTGGCTAGGTTCACGACGAATTTCAGTGGCCAATGGGAGGAACGACGACCGGCGATGGAGAAGTGCAGCACCAGCAACGGCGAGAGGGAGGATAGGGTTTCAGTGTCATGAAAGGGAGGAGAGGAGACGGCAGCGTGGCGCACGAACAAGAAAATGAATCAAAAGGTGTGTGATGGATTTTTTAGATCAATTGCGTCGGCTTTATTGTCTACTTTGTGTCAAACTTTTTGACGCTTATAAGTAAAATTTTGTGTTGATTTATTAGATGCAAATACGGTGTAAAAAGCGCCTCAATTCCACCGTTAATTTTATCGTTGTTTGTGTATAATATTCATACATAAATCCGACGCAAATTATGACGCTAATAAAATAAATTTAATTTTGCTGCAAATTAGTCGAAAATTCTAATGCAAATAAATATGTCAAAATTTCTGATGTCAATTTTCGACGCTAATTTAAAGCTCTCATGTATTGAAACTCTATCACAAGTAGATGTTTTTCTTGCTTTACATGTAGGATGATAAACCTATTAAATATATATGAATGAGTGTAGTTCCAATATAAAAGATTTAAGGAATGTTGATGTGATTAATGATGACAAAGTTCAAACTTTATTGGTGTTATTATACTCTTTATCTCCTTATAAGCACTTTTAAAACTTCTTGCTATATGAATTTGATATAATTAACTTAATTGAAGCCAATAGTTTATTTCTTTTAATGAAGACAAATGGTAATTAAGTTCAACGAAAATTGATAATTTAGATGAAGATTTATAAAAGAGCATGATAAGAAATCCTACAAGAATGAGTCTCCTTCTACATAACAAGAGCAATTTTAAGGGTATAAATTGCTTTGATTATAAGAATAAATAACACAAAAAAAGGTAATTATCATGTTTTAAAGAGGAAATAGAAACATGCAAATGAAAATCACAAAGATGAGAAGTTATTAGGTGCGACTATTGTTATAGATTGGTTTGTTTCTAATGTTAGAGATGCTTTCTTATTAAAATTGAACCTTAATCCTCGTTAGTGGAGGAACCATAAACAAGAAGAGAAATTAGAGCAGCAGCACTAGCAATAGGAACCACAATTTAATTAATCTAGGTTCAAGTATACAAGCCTCTTTCTTGCACTCAGAGGAAGAGAGGGATGCAAACTGAGCTAGTATGACTTATGCTTTGTCATATAAAGAAGGTTTTCCCACCCTCCAATTAAATTTAAGAAGTCACAATTGGTTAGTTCAACAAATTGGCTTTCACCCATAGGAATCAATGAAAGACAATGTTACATATGCATTTAGATTTTGATCACTTTGTAGAAGCAGACTATGATATCTCATAGGTGAAGAACAACTCTCTTCATGGACTCAAAGGTCTTAAGAAATTAAAATACATAACTAAATATCATTAACTTTCCTTATCCAACACCAGGTAGAGATTTGCGTTTATTTCAATCATGGGTATATATAGTTATAATTATATATATGTTTAAAAAAATAAAATTATATAAACATAGCTTAAGTAAATATATTTTTAAATAAAAAATAAATATAAAAAATTAAATTCATCCCAAATTGAATTTAGATGTTTGAAAAAAAAATTCTACACAGTCTAAAAATTAAACTAATGTGTGAAACACTTCTAAAGGAAGGGCCAATAAGCTTTCAGATTATTTAGATTAATATATTTGGAATTTAAATTCAATAATTAGGCCAAAATAGTTATTAAATTTGAAAATAAAATTGTGAAGTTTCATAGAAAAGAGAAGTCTTACTTAAAAGATTTTAAAAATCACGTTTATTGTATTAATTTAGATGACATGACGACAAAATCATATAAATCAAAATAAATTGACTAAGAATGATAGACTATTCTTAGGTATTGTTCTTTGTTGGACTTTAGTGATAATAAAGAGAATTTATCATGTTGATATTAAATGATAATTTTAGAGAGGTGATCCTAAAAGGTATGGGATTTTTTATGTGAAAAATTTATAAAGAGAAAAATCATGGTCTTTTCTAATCAAAATAAACCAATTAGTGTAAAATTTAGATTAAGAATGATGAAAAAGAATATTTCATTGATATTGAATGAAGCATTGAGAAATATGTTTTAAGAAGATATGAGAATTTTATTAGTAAAATATAATAATATTATTCCTTCATCAACCAGATGATAACCATAATTAATGTTCTTATCATTGGTTAATCTTGATTTTGGGATTGGCCCAAGATGTTAATTATCTATTGGAGTACGATAATTTAGATAACTTGACCCTTAAAAGGGTTATGGCTTATGTTGATCCAAAGTAGTTTTTTGGGGCTAAGTTAACCAAATTTAGTCATGCTATGAGGTTAATTGGTTTCACTCAGATTGGGTTGAATCAAAGGCACAATAAGGTAGTTTCATGTTCAAGGCTTTTAATCAATTTTAGAATTAAGGCTAACTTGCATGATTTGGTTCCTTTTGACAAGTTAGTTTAATTGGAATTCTATGCATTCTAAGTAAGCTTCATTTGAAATAAAATAAGCCAATTTGATGGTTTAGGACAATTTGGCTCAATCTACCCATTTAGGTTCGATTAGATCAAATTAGGTCGATTGAACTTGATTCATCCAATCAATGAATCAGTTGTCTAGTTACTGTGACTAAGTAATGAAAATCATATTTGAAGATTAGTCCAAAAATATTGGTCATTTTGAAGGTCAATGATGATTTAGTAAAATTTATCTTATAAAATTTTAAATGGGTAAATTAGTAAACTTGGGTCTAGTGAACAACTTGGTAAACTTTTGGGGCTAATTGGGAAGTAAAGGACCTAGATAATATATAAACATGATATTTAGGGAGAGGTATATCATCTATTAATTTGGTTAATTAGAATGTTCTAAACCCATTTAATCAAAGGTATTAGATCTAAGTTTGTCTCTTCTTGGTCAAATGGGTTGAGAACGATCATGTAAAGGAATTCTAAGAACCTAATCACAAAAGGTTTAGTTTCAATTAATTCACCTAATTTTATTGAATTAGTCCAATAGAGTTTTAATTTGTTGAATTCTATAAGTGTTGTGAGTCACCGTAAAAGGTGTGTTTTAATTAGGATCAATCTAATGATCAAAAGTTAAATGGAGTTTGATATATTATTGAAGATGATTGATCACATCAATTTAAGCAACTGAAGTCATTTTATTTAAAATGGTCTTGTAATCTTTATTGGGTTAATTAGATTGAGTCAAGTCAATTGGAGTAAATTGACCTAACCAACTGGCAATTGATGTTAGATTTTTTATCGGGAGTCATTTAAGTTTATTAAAATTTTTTATTGTAACCCTATTTATCAAATTTGCCAATTTGTAGAAATAAGCACATTTGGGTTTATTTGATGAAAATGTCAAATTAGACAAATTGAATTTAGCGAAAGGTCAATTCAAAAATGATTGAATAATATTCAATCATGATTCAAACAAATTTTTTTTAGACAAATTGAATTTAGCGAAAGGTCAATTCAAATTCAAACAAATTTTTGATATAGTTCTCACGTATGTAATGATAAGGTTTAAAACACACTTTTTGGCACTTTATCAAACTCTGTGTTAGTGCTCTATTGAACTAATTTAATCTATGATACATAATAAAACTAATTAAGAAATAGCAACCAAGTATGTTGAAGGAGTCGATGAGTGAAATTATGTTGAACTTCAATGGCACTTGTTGAGCTAATAAACCTTGAAAAAAGTATGATGCTGAAGATGATGGATAAAGTCAGGGAAATAGAGGACATCATTTTATTTCATTGAGATATAAGAGTAGCATGATTTTTTGGGTTTGGAAAAAAGTATGATGCTGAAGATGATGGATAAAGTCGAATTGGGAAATATAGGACATCATTTTATTTCATTAAGATATAAAAGTAGCATGATTTTTTGGGTTTAGTTTGAAATGATCCTTCAAGACATAATTGTTTGCAAAAAATAATGATAATAATAACAATTATACTTCTCCCTTTTATGATATTATAGGGCGCTTAATAAAATCTATTTCAAATCAGTGTGTGTGTGTGTGGAAAAGAGGTCATAAGATCAAATATCAAACTAACATTTATGCAATTTAGTAACCAATAATGTGAGGCTTAGAAAAAAAGTTGTGGTTTTTATGCAGGCCAATTCATGGTTGAGCTATTATTAACATTCCCAAGAATTTAAACCATCATTTGAATCAGAAATGAACTCCATCCTCTTATTTTTGCAGTAATTAGGAGGATGAATTCAAAAGTCCTCTATATTATAGTAGAAGCTCATAAACACATAAGAAGAATGGAATCTAAATTAATAAGAGAAGAATTTAAGGCGCCTGATAATTATTAATATTATTTTATTTTTTATATATTTTGATTTGAAACAAGATATATTCAATGAGTTGATATAAATTGATATTATTATTGAAATCACTCAAGATTAATTTTTAAGAACATGTTAATTAACTTTTAAAACTAACTAACAAAAACTAGTTAAAAATACACTAAATAAATATATTTTTAAAAACAAAAACAGAAGTAAAAAAAGACAAGTAAAATATAAAATAAATCCATACAAGCCTTCAGCTTCTATCATGCACAACAAATTTCAATTTCAAGTAATACAAAGCAGAATTCAAATTTCAGAAAGAATTATTATTCAAAATCCATAACTCAAAATTTAAACATAAATTACACCTAATAATCTCTCATAAACTCACTAATTATGCCCTCCCCTGCCTCATGCCTAATGGAACTAATGAAACAATCAAATAATTACTTTAATCAGATTCTTCCAAAACCCCCCACAATACCCTCAATAATCAGCAATGAAAACATCAAAACATTAGCACACCATTCATCAATACAATCACTACAACTGCACATAATACCAAATTGAGAACAACAAAAGGAGAAGAAGTTCTGTAACCAGATGCAATTGGTAATGTCTCAGGAAGAGCGCACTCCTCTCCGTTAAAGAACACCCTTGCCGGAAAACCATCGCCGGCGCGGATGTTGACTCCCGGCGTTAACTTCTTCTTGAAGGAGATGACTGATTGCTGCTTTCCAGGCACCCTTGGATCTGAAAGTGTCTTCCCATTCACTTCTGGCATCAGGTAGTTAAGACCTGGCAGCCCCTGCATGCAACATCAAAATTTCATTTTTTTTCTGTTTTTTAAACTCAAACAAGATCAAACCAATTCAATTATACTTGATTTATAAGAAAAAATGTATCTTAATCTCTGAAATAGGTTGGAACCGAAATCTACATTATTATTTTCCAACAAAATCCTCACCTGCATGAAAATAATATCTCCAATGTCGGGCCACACAGTGTCGTTCAGCCGCGTTCCATTGAAAGAGTACACATTTTCATAGCCAGAAGCAATGTTCTTCTTCATCTGTATTGCCGAGAACCAGTCCCTGAGAGAAAAGATTAAAAATGACAATTTAACTTAACAAAATTACTCAAAATACTTACAAAAATTAAAATGGTTGATTGAGTAGTACCTGAAAGTATACTCCCCCCAGTTGAAGATGGTGATCCTCGCCGTCCACCCGCTCCTATAATCCGAAAAAAGATGCCAGTTGATACTCACGCCGCAGTTGTCGCCGCAGGGCTGCCGGCGAGGCAAAGGCCAGTGCTTGATGTGAGCCCAAGCTCTCGCCTTTGCCGTCCGGTTGTTGAACGGCACGAGTAGAGCTTCCGGCGGCAGCAGCATTGCCGGTGCGTCGGCATCGCAGGCGGCATCCTCTGCGCACCCACAGGCACATGTGCTGCATGGGATCACGGAGTCGTTGTAGTAAGCTGAGTAGGAAACACAGCACTTGGCCGCTCTGGCTTTGGTCTTGGTCATATTGCAAACTATCTGCCAAAAAAGATGAACAGTCATGGTGGAAGAAAATAGTAGGATAGAGAATAATAGTAGGAAACACAGCACTTGGCCGCTCTGGCTTTGGGCTTGGTCATATTGCAAATTATCTGCCAAAAAAAGATGAACAGTTATGGTGGAAGAAAATAGTAGGATAGAGAATAAATTTTCTTGATGTTTCTATGACTAAAATGCAGAAACAACATTTTTTTTACTTAGTGTCTTTGGCATGATAATTATGATTTGTATGTGTGGATTGGGCCGAGATTTTCCGTACGGACATCGGATGCAACTTGAGTCTAGTGTCTAATCAGAAACTTTTTAAAAATAAAAATGAAAAAATTTAAATTGGGGCTCATTGACATAAACTATTTTGTAGAGGGAGTGTTTTGATTGGTTCAACAATAATTTTTCATGAATTTAGACTACTTAGCGGGTACTTGTCTGAGTACACACAAAATACATTCAAATACTTGTCTGAGTACACACAAAATACATTCAAATCTGCACATATATGATCTGTATGTACTAAATGCTCATTTAGCATACAAGAGATTTTTAAAAACTCTAATGCTATATGAGTCAACTCAATGGAAAAGAGAATATGATTAGTTTGTTCTTCCATGTTTTCTTCTTATAAATATTAATTTTATTAATGATATTTTTTTATTCTGAAAATAATAAAGTATTATATAATTATAAATAAGGCAACATGATAAAAGATACATGAGAATTAGCAAGAGTACATGAAATCTAAAATAATCGGACAACCACAAGATTTTATGAACAAGCGTGATTAAGGGTGTGTTTGGGGTACGGTCGTGTTCCTGCTTAGTGTAAAAAATCAACTATATCTCCAGATAAACTGTTCAAACACAACTTTCAAACGATAAGACATTATTTTCAAGAATTGCATGCTACATATATATGTAAATTTCCTCTTGAATTTTATGAACAAGCGTGATTAAGGGTGTGTTTGGGGCAGCTTGATCTTATCCAGCTAGTCTGTTTATTTGGAAACACGTACCGCGGGATTCGACCTGCGCTCCTTGCTTAGTGTAAAATACCAACTATATTTTTGAATAAACTGCTCAAACCTCATTTTCAATGAGACATTATTTTCAAGAAATGTATGCTGCATATATGTAAATTTCCTCTTGATTTTTCTTACCTGCCAGCTAGCGAGCGCAATTGATTCCGACGTGAGTCCGGAAGGGTCAGGAAACTCCGCCGGAGCAACTCGAATCGGTGCACCGCACTTATAATGAGGGTTAATAACGCCGCTTATCTCCCACTTATAAGGCGGATTAAGCGCAGTTCTGTTCAAATCTGGAGGCAGCTTGTACACCTGGAGCTGGAACACCGCCTTGGAGAGCGATGGATCCATGTTTGGCGGAAGCAAGGTGCCATTTTTACAACAGTAAGGTATGTTCCCGAGCTCCCTGTCCTGTTTTCGTTCAGGGGGAAGATCAACAAGTGTGGGGCGCTTCTGGCAACTCATAACTTTGGAAAAATCGAGGCTTTCGTAATAGTCGGCAGCTTGGCCGTAGATGCAGGCGGTGGGATCTTTGACGAGGGTGTAGGCGCCCTTTGTGGAGTAGATAAACTCTCCACGCATCCACTCCCAGCTGAGGTTCCAGTTGTCCAGGCGGCTGAGGGGGTGGTGGTTCTCCATGGTGACTTGGGCTAAGTAATTGTTGGGGTAGGCTTGGAGGACGTCGTAGGAGATGGTGAGGTCGCCGTGTTGGCGAGGGAGGAGTTTGATGTGGGTTTCATTTGTCTTCCACTTCGGATCCCGGGTGCAGCACACGTACATCTGGCTCCCTAAGCATGAATGGTTGGAGTTTCATTACATTAAGATGCAAAAAGGTTTAATTTTTAGTGTAAAGGAGATGTAAAAATTGAGTTTTTGAAGAAGTATTGTGTAAATCGGAAAGATAGACTTTTAAATCAAGCAAATACGGAAATTCGTGTGTAATAATTTTCCTCTTTTGAGATGGAGCACTGTTTATTTACGTAATACACATGCAATTCCGCGTGTGTATTCCACAAAATAACATTCTAATAACTCACTTATTGGAAGTTATTGAGAGGTTATTAAAATTTTACAGATTATTCAGGGTATTAACCCTAATAACACATTCATAACCCTCTAATAAGTCACGAATAACCTCTATATGCATGCAGCTCTACGTGTGCACTACGTACGTAAATATTTTTCCTTAAGATGAGGGTGACATTAATTATTTATGTATTATACTCATTTTTAAATATATTTAAGAGTTTTGAAGTTCATCATTTTCAAGTTTGAGAATATTTTGATAAGATTTTTCTTTTATATATATATAAATAAGGGCATTTACATACATGACCCACGATTCTAATGTATTTATATATCTCACACCTACACTTTTATGTTTACACGTATATCACTCAAGTCTTTATCATCACACAAAAATTAACACTAGTTCTAAGGCACCATAGTGCTAAGTATGTAAATATCAAAGTTTAAGCCTAAGATATGTAAATACACAAGAATTGTGTGCTAGGAATGTAAATTTCCCTTCTAAATATTAATTATATAGTTGTGGCACATACACACTAAATTTCCTTATCGAGATTAATTTAAATATACAGTATGATTACATTTCACAATCAGAGAAAAGCTTTGCAGTCTAAAGAACAAAGTAAACTAAAAGAAAATTTTTTTTTCTCATGAAGAGTTCGCTCTGGATCCCTTAACTGAAAAACCATTATCAATTCAATATTTATATTAATCAAAATAAAAAATATTTATATGAATTTTGATATATATTGCTTGCTAGGGCTGTCAAAACGGCTCGTTGTTCGCGAACAGCTCGTGTTCGGCTCGTTAATTTCGTTTGATAAGTTAACAAGCCAAACACAAACTAAGATGTGTTCGTTCGTGTTCGGCTCGAAATACTACTCATCAAGTTTATATATATTCAGTAATATTTAAAAAAAATCTAATTGACTACAAGGCTACAAAGATTTATAATCAATTAAAACATTAATTGAGAAAATAGAATGAAAATTATTAAATTAGATTCAAATGATATTTTAATATAAATTATAATTTTTAAATCCTGCTCAAACTCTTATTGTCTTATGGCTACATGATTAGAGTTGTTAAAAGAACTTTTTGTTCGTGAACAACTCGTGTTCACACTTTTTGAGCTCGAAATATAAGCTCGCTCGTGTTCGGCTAGTTTACACCCTTATTGTTTGCACAACTGTTGTAAACAACAAACCAAAAAAAATTATAAATGCAGAGTTGAATTCATTTATTGTGGATGAATATAATTAAACTAATCAATTGCTGTTTGTTTTATTAAATGATCATAATGCATATATATATATAACTAATAAATTAAAAAATTCCATGAATAATTTCTCCCTTCAATGCATCAATTATAATTTCCATCATCCCTACTCATTATATATTATAATTATAGGTATCATACCTTGACGTTTAGGCGTGGGACACTTGATTCCATCATTAACCAACCTAATAGTCTTAGGCATTGGTACATTTGGAGGCTTCACTCCAAACTGAGTTCCAACGATACTAACCTCCACCTTGATCTTCTTCATATCTCCGGCCGTCTCGATCGAATTCTGCAGATCCGTCTGCGGAAACCCAACGAACGTCGTCCCATTCCCGACGCTCGCCGGAAAATCAGTACTGTCCGCCATGACCGCACCTTCGGTCGACACCAGAATCTCCTTGTTCTGAAAACCGACGTAGAGCTTCCATTGCTTGAGATCTCGGTCCATGGTGTTGGTGACGGTGGCCATTGCCTTGAATGCATAGGCTTGTGCGGATGCATTTTTGAGGTGGGGGAATTCCTTGGTGCGTGAAATGAAGGTGTATGTCAAGAAGGCGCCGTTGCAGTCGTCTTCTTCGGGAGGTAATGGGGAGGAGAAGGAGGAGTCGTCGTCGTAGTCTTGGGTGAGGGAGAAGAGAATGGAGGTGAGGAGGAGGAGGATGGTGAGGAAGAATGAAGAAGAAGACATGTTTGTTTGAATCTGTTGTTTTGAATGTTATGATGGTGATTAGATGTGAAATGCTGGAATTGGAGACATGGTTAAGGGAGGAGGGGATTTGTGGAAGGGATTGCGGATCGTAGGAGAGGAGAAAATGGGAGAAGAAAAATGGAGTTTTTATTTTTTGTGGCTTCTATTTTGGGATGTAAAGTTTGGTTTTTTGAGGTAGGAAAGGAGGGGCGGAGAAGGATGCGGGGCGACGGAGACAGCGGGGAGAGTTAAAATTATTATTTTTAGGATTAATTATAAATCGTATTAGGAAGTCAAATTAGATATGTATTAGATATCTGGGAGAAGGAGCGTTTTTTACATAACGTCATATGCATGTAATTTGACGTGTGTATGCCGTCGAATAGCCTTCCAATAACTCAATAATTGAGGGATATTAAGAGGTTATTGGGGTTATCAATAACATCTCGATAACCTCCCAATAACTTATCAATATATTTTGTAGTTTGATGCTCATCTTTTTTTCTTGTCATTCGAGGGTTTCGTAAGGTTATTGAGGGTATTAACACCAATAACAACAACATAACCCTGCAATACCCTCCAAATAACCTTCATACGCATGCAATTTTGTGTGTGTATAATGTACATAAATAGTTTTCACGGAAAAGGGCTCGCACATACGGTTATATTTTTTTATCGTGTTAGAATTTTGGTGGAGCGTGGGGGCGAGATGTTGTATTCATAATACCTATTAATTAGAAAAAAAAAATTCAGGTATGAAATGTCTGCAGATCAAGATAACAGATTGAATACTGATATTTAATATTTTTTCCATAAATTATTTTGCTCAAAGATCGTCTCATTTGTTTCGACCCAAGCTAAAATTCGGATCAATTTTTCAGCAATTAATAATCTTTAAGCTAACTTCATTAAATTCATAGGTTGTTAATGATCCAATGCGAGTCAATTTGGGGTCGTTTAAAAATTGGTTCGAAAAAATTTTGATTCAAAATTTTAAATCGTAGCTCGGCTTGTTTATTTCAATCGGATCTCAAATCTTAACTAAAAATTGAATTGATTTTTTAGCTATTAACTATAGTGGAGCTAAATTCACTGCCCTACTCGCACTAAAAATGTGTTTGGAATGACTGTGAATGCGGTGTGGAGGCGCATCACAATTTTATTTATTTGATAAAATTATTTTTGCTCTAAAAAAGCTGCTGCTAAAAACTGTGTTTTCCCATCATTCCTGTCTACCTATGATAGCTGCTAAAAATCTGTGATCTGAACATTTCAAAAAAACAATTTGTAATATCCACTGCAACTTCAGAATTATTTCTTCAAACAATTATTGCTACCCCCTTATAAACCCTAAATAAAACTTATTTTTTCAACATCCAACGTCACTTCTCCTTGAACCGGTCCATACAAGCGCAGAATACATCATACCTTCTCCAGCCCCCATTCACAGTGTAGTAAAATTCTGGCTTTCAGAACAAACGAAAACAGGGTTAAGTTTGTGTAAGATTTAAAGATGACATTTTTATACTGGTTGGTTCCTTGCCCCCCCTGAATTTCAAAATTGCAATAATCCATTTGCATAACTAATTTCTTCTTTGTATTTAAACAACAATGTTATCAGTACCTTTTAAGATGCAGGACTAACTTTTATTTTAAGAACTTGAGCTGTTCGTGGGTAGGGGTGTAAACGGGCCGAACACGAGCGAGCTTAAAAATTGTGTTGGTGTTCGGCTCATTTGCTTAGCGAGTAGAACACAAATCGTTCATGAACAAAGAGTCATTTTAACAACTCTAATCACGAAACCATAAGATTTAAGGATTGTGGCAAGATTTAAAAATTATTGTTTATATTAAAACTTCATTTGAATCTAATTTAATATTTTTTATTCTATTTTCTTAATTAATATTTTTAATTGATTATAAATCTTTCTTGTCTCGTAGTCAATTAATTTTTCTAAAAATATTGCTCATCGATATATATATATATACATATGTATATGATGAGTAGTATTTAGAGCCAAAAGGAGCTGAATTTGTTCGTGTTCGACTCATTAACTTAGCGAACGAGCCGAACACGAGCTGTTCGCAAACAACGAACCGTTTTGATAGAGACCACTCTCCTCACTGTTGTTGTAGACTTGTAGGTGCATTTCATATGTTCCACTTCCACCCAATTCTTATGTACTTACATATCTAACACGAGAAGTTTGATTTTTACATACCACCCAAATCATTCACACAACATCAAGTAAACCAAGATTCTTTGGTCTTCTTCTACATCTCTCCCTTCAATCGTGCTCTATGCTCCTGGATTTCGCGTAGCCCCTTTCCCTCCCTCTGCGGCAGGCAATATGATCGATTAGGGCCTGCATATAACTTAAATTAGTCATTTATAAAATGTATTATTACCTTTGTAACCTTTGGCATATTTACATTTAAGACACAGTGTGAGCCTATAAATACAGAATCATTTGTATTCAAATGTAAGATGGAAATCAATTAATAAAAGCCATACTTAGCTTTCTTCAGATTTTTTTCCCTTTCTTCCTCTTTTTTGTTGTTTACATTTGTATCAGAGCCCTCCCTAGCTTCACGAAGTCAATGGATTCCAATCCTTCAACAACCAACCAAGAAAGCCAGCAAATCACATTGGCTTACAACAAATTCATGGAGATAAATATCGCAATTGCTCTGAAATTCTTGGTGTCTCAAATCAGGAATGTAACAGGATATTGTTTAGCTCGAGACAAGTATCCTGTATGGCAAGCCTAGATATCAAAACTGCTAATAGCTAATGGGTTTGATTCGTTCTTGGATACTCAAACATCCCCTCTCAAACTTTTCACCGACACAGGTGGAGCAGTAAAGAAAAATCAAGATTGTATCAGTTGGCAAATAGTGGCAAATAGTGGATAGGAATATAGCAACGGTAATTTTTTTCCCACCAGCTCACCTTCAACTCTTTCCTATATACTGCATAACCACTGCTGTTGACATAGGGCGGACTCTGGAATCTGGAATAAAAAATTCCAAGCTCCCAAGAGATCGAGTCAATCAATTAAAGAATGAACTGCATAACATCACAATGGGATCGAGCCTATGACTCGGTACTTAATTATGGTTAAAAACTTGGTTGACAAGATTGTCATTGCAGGTTCCAAAGTGGACTTAGACGACATAATCTCCATACATTATTAGGTCTACCACCTAGTTATCAATGCTTTAAGATTCTACACAAATTTGCAACCCCTCTCACTTAAAGATTTCCATGCTCTTCTTCACAGTAAAGAATGCAAAATTGCTCAAGAACAAACAAGAACTATACAACATGTTCTTCTATTGACTTTTAAAAACAAAAAAGGCTACAACAATTCAAAAAGTTTCAATATAAAACTATGAGAACCCCAAAAATACGAAGAATATCAATTCATCCAAATTAAAACCTATTGTAACCGGTTAGATTTACATCAAGCTTGGCCACTCGGCAAGTCAATGTTTGCACAAAATGAATCTCCAATACCAACCACCCATATATTCTTCTGCGACAGCATTTACAATCCAAGCACCAAGAAAATCACAAAACTAGACACTAGACACAGTGCCACAAAAACATCTCCACCCCATGTTGAACATTGACAAACCTCTGAACCATATATGGGTCCAGAACAAATGATAGTAGGAAATGGACAAATCTCTGACATCACACAAGTTGGTAACGGGTTTCTACCAACTCTCGAGCGTAAGTTACTGTTGGCCCCATTATTCCGTATTCCACAATTATCACATAACTTAATGTCAGTTCATAAATTAGCTAAGGATAAAAATTTGCACCTTCTCTTTTGATACTAAAAATTTCATATACAGAATTACAACACCAAGAAAGTTCTCTTAATTGGTCAAGCTAATCAAGGGTTTTACCCCATTACAGCCTTTTCTTCTACGACAAGTTCAAATATTTGGCACCAGACTCAAACATCCGCACAAGAAAGTCCTATCTACGATTTCACATACTTTTCCTTATCTAAATATTCTTTCATGTAATGTATCATGTTTGAATTGCTATCAAAATAAAAGCCAAAACCTACCTTCTAGTAATAGCACAACTACTTACAGAAAATTGAAAATGATACTTTCTGATATTTGGGACCCCCTCCCCGTCCTTCTAGAGAATGACAAATATTATGTGATATCCATTGATGCGTTTTCCAGTTATTGTTGTTGCTTTCATTTACGTCACAAATTAAAAATACTACTCACTTTATATATCTGCATAAACTTTAACAAAATCAATTTCATAAAAATATCAAACACCTTCGTATTGACTGCGATGGAGAATATATATCAAATGAGCTCAAACTCTATTTATAGGATAAAAGAATTCAATATCAATATAGCCGCCCCTACACTCCTGAACAAAACATAATTGCCGAATGGAAACACTATCATATTATTAAACGGACCGAAGCCTTTTCAAATATTCTAATCTACCATCACTCTATGAATAGAAGTTTTTCTCACTGCTATCTATCTTATTAGTACTCCATATGAGTAACGTTAAAAATTAGTCGCCCTTTCAACTCCTATATCACCAACCACCTAAATATCAACATTTGCAAACCTTTGGTTGCCTTTGCTATCCATGGCAACAACATAACAACTTATTTTTTGAAGCAAAATAGAAAGAAAAAAATATGAAGGAAGAAAGATTGTTGATATTTAGGTGGTTGGTGATATAGGAGTTGAAAGCGCATGAAAATAAAATTATCAATATTGAAGCATTCACAGACAAGGTTTGCAAATGTTGATATTTAGGTGGTTGGTGATATAGGAGATAAATCTCTTCCTATAATATTGAACATTACTTGTTTTTGTGATATTTGTTGAAGCAAAATAGAAAGAAAAAAATATGAAATAAAATTATAATTAGTTTGAAGGTAAAGATTTATTTATTAATTGTTTGTGAATATTTATTTTATAGTATTTTAATAAACTTTTTTTGTAATTAGTGAGTTTCCTATCAAATTTACAAATTTTGTAATTTTTTGTATAAATATATTTACTTTTTTTGTAAAATTAATTTATTCATTTAATAAATTTGT